TGGGGAGCAACTGATGTAATGCTAAAAGTATCCAAGATATTCTAGGTGTAAATACAATGGACTACTCTGCATCAATTATTGTTCAAACAGAAAAGAATGAGGTTTAATATACAAGCTCACTTCCCCTAAATATTTTAGAAATAATTTGAGAAATTTGAGAAAAGAATTGCATTTTTAACATGGTACTATCTCTGGAGATAGATTATATTTTAGGTTTGAGTAATGTCTTTGTGATTTTACTCTCAGGTCAGCACATATATAGAAGACTGCATAGCACAGAAAGACCCGCTGATAAAGATCCTGCGACTGGTCTGCATGCAGTCTGTCTGCAACAACGGCCTCAAACAGAAGGTCCTGGACTACTATAAGAAAGAGATCCTTCAGGTACGACAGAGGGAATTTCTTTGTGCGTTGCTTTTATTTCCTTTTAGACCGATTTTGTGAATGCATAATGGTGAATTTGAATCACAGAATTTTGTGCAAGACCATAGAAGTGAATTATAAATGCCTTAAACATTTACAGTTGTTTGTGTTTTGTTGGGTTAGACATATGGTTACAAGCACATTCTAACTCTCAAGAACCTGGAAAGGGTTGGGTTACTCAAACCTCAAAGCACCATGAGAAACAACTACCCCACAATCAGGAAGACCCTCAAACTGTGGATGGAGGATGCCAATGAACAGGTTTGTCCTGGCATTCATTTTTAGTACGGTTTTCATATAACTGAAAATGGCCTTCACCGTTCAAATAGTCCCCCACCCAAACTCACTCCAATGCTTTGAACTAATGGACACTTTACACACTTACATTAATTTAGTATGCTTGGTGTAATGTATTGATTTCAATACATTAGACCAGTGGTTCCCAACCCTGGTCCTTGAGGCACCCCAACACTGCATGTTTTGCATGTCTCCTTATACACACCCGATTCAGATCATCAGCTCATTAGTAGAGACTTCAAGACCTGAAACCGGTGTGTCAGAGAAAGGAGACATGCAAAATGTGCAGTGTTGGGGTGCCTCAAGGACCAGGGTTGGGACCCACTGCATTAGACAACAACATATCAAAAGCAATAGCATATATTTAGTGCATGCACACATTTAAAATATTCAAGTAAAATATTTCACAAGCACAAGTATGTTGGGTTTTCAAACCATGTTACTGTTCAAAACGGTAAAGTTTTGGGACACTTTGTAGTTGTCGAGGAGCTAATTTAGTGAGTTACAATTTTGGTTATTCTGTGCACTTGACATCATACACTACCAGTCAAAAGTTTTCGAAGAGTACGATTTTTAATGTTTTTTTTAAGAAGTCTCTTCTGCTCACCAAGCCTTCATTTATTTGATCCAAAATACAGCAAAAAAAAAAGTAATATTGTGAAATATTTTTACTATTTAAAATAACTGTTGTTTATTTGAATATATTGTAAAATGTAATGTATTTCTGTGATCAGAGTTGTATTTTCAGCATCATTACTCCAGTCTTCAGTGTCACATGATCTTCAGAAATCAGTATAATATGCTGATTCGCTGCTCGAGAAACATTTCTGATTATTATCAATATTTAAAAGTATTTAAAAACAGTTGAGTACATTTTTTTTTTCAGAATGAATAGAAAGATCCCAAGATCAGCGTTTATCTGAAATATAAAGCTTTTGTAACATTATACACTATAGCATTAAAAAGTTTGGAGTCAGTATAATTTATTTATTTGTACTTTTATTTAGCAAGGATGCTTTAAATTGATCAAAAGTGATGATAAAGACATTTATAAAGTTACAAAAATTTCTATTTCAGATAAATGCTGTTCTGAGTTTTCTATTCATCAAAGAAACCTGAAAAAATTCTACTCTGCTGTTTTCAACATGATATTAATGATAATAAATGTTTTTTGAGCAGCAAGTCAGTATATTAGAATGATTTCTGAAGATCATGTGACACTGAAGATTGGCGTAATGATGCTGGAAATAAAGCTTTGAAATCACAGGAATAAAATACATTTTAAAATATACTCAAATAGAAAGCAGTTATTTTAAATAGTAAAAATGTTTCACAGTATTACTGCTTTTGCTGGATTTGGGATCAAATAAATGCAGGCTTGGTGAGCTGAAGAGACTTCTTTAAAAAACATTTAAAAAATCTTACTTTTCAAAATCTTTTGACTGGTAGTGTCAAAAATAACCTTGCGATCAGTTAGTTAAAACTGATTACAGATGCCTCAGAAAATTGCAGATAGTTTTGAGAAATGTTTTCTAGCATCATTTGTTTGGAGATATATACTGTATATTTGATACATATTTTATATGGGCACAAGCCGTGTAAATTCCCACTTGACTGTGGCACGTCTAAGGACTGTGTGTTTGTTATTGATGGTTTTGGGAATGACTGATGCTTGTTAACTTTCCTTTAGAACCCCAACGACATCTCGTACGTGTACAGTGGCTATGCGCCGCTGAGTGTTCGCCTGACACAGGTGCTCGCTCGTCCTGGCTGGAGGAGCATCGAGGAGGTGCTGAAGATGCTGCCTGGGCCACACTTTGAAGAGAGACAGCAGGTTCCCACAGGCCTTCACAAGAAGCGTAAGTGAGGAAAGACGGTCATTCTAGATCAGTAAACCCATCATAGTCTTAACTAGGGTTGCAAAGGGGTGGAACATTTCTGGAAACTTTCCAAAAATCCCCGGAATGTTCCAAAAATCCCTGGAATGTTCCAAAAATCCCTGGAATGTTCCAAAGATTCCTGGAATGTTTCCAAAATTTACTGGAAATTTTCCACCTTTTTGCAACCCTAGTCTTAACCATCTTAGTAATAAACTTGAGCTAGCTTGTGAAATTCACTTGAAAGTGCTTCATCTTAGTGTGCGTGAACAGAACACTTTGATTTGTTACATCTATTTAGCATTTTTGGTTTACATTTTTATAAAAAATAAAAAAAAATTCATTTAATTAGAATTATTTATATACTTCCTATAGAGTTGTGTGTGCCTGAAAAACATGGTCAGGTCAAAGTGTCTGAATAATTTTTGGTCCCAAATGTTTATCAGTTTTACTGGTAGTCCACTGTATGAAGAATTTTTAAGGGTATAATAGGTCAGTTTACTTTATTTTGCTATCCTCACTTACAAAAATGAACTATAGTGTCCTGCACCCACTAGTAAAATCCTATAGAGTTGTGTGTGCCTCAAAAACATGGTCAGGTCAAAGTGTCTGAATAATTTTTGGTCCCAAATGTTTATCAGTTTTACTGGTAGTCCACTGTATGAAGAATTTTTAAGGGTATAATAGGTCAGTTTACTTTATTTTGCTATCCTCACTTACAAAAATGAACTATAGTGTCCTGCACCCACTAGTAAAAAAAATCAACAATTATATCTGGTGTCTTAATAATTTTTGGTTTGACTGTATACTACATAGCAAATCTTAACTACCTGTTTGATTGTATCGCCCAGCTCTAATCTGCTAAATGTGATTATCAGGTATGAGGACATTATTAGATATTATTTATGTAAAGCTGCTTTGAAACAATGTGTAGTGTTAAAAGCGCTATATAAATCATGTTTCAATAAAACACTTTATGCATAAGGTTGTATGTGGTTCTCCTTCTCTTTAATTTGCAGGTCAGCCTGGAGAAAACAGAACCATCCTCGTCTTCTTTCTTGGCGGTGTGACGTATGCTGAAATCGCTGCTCTGCGGTTCTTGTCTAATATGGAAGATAGTGGGACTGAGTACATTATTGCAGCCACCAAACTCATCAATGGCACCAGCTGGATAAAGTCTCTCATGGACAGTCCTGAGGAAAACTTGCCTTAAAGTAGGGCCTCACAGATCCTGCTATCGGTCAACGGTAATGTTTTGTGGACATGTAGAATGTGAGTTATATCAAACTGTCGATGCTGTTTTGTCTGATAATTTTTAAGGATTATGAAGGGGGTTGAAATCACTGTTACGATACTAATTTATTTATGAGTAATCATTTGTGAAAACAGCCACCTGCATCTGATCTAAGCAGCGAGGTTTGTGAGTTAACCGCTAATGCAGTGTAGAAACATACTAATGTTGTGTATATAACCTGCTTTGTCAGATTGCATGTTTTCCCAGAAGCCACCATATATTGTTTTAGCAAGTAGTGGCAACTTTTTCGATAATGCATTCCTGGTCTACATAAAAAAGAACTATGTTGGCTTTAGCGCATGTTCATATAATAATTTGTTTATTAAAATTATAAAATTGTAACTCCTTTACAGCTGTTCATAACTGTACCGTTTGAGTCCTGACATTAAAGGGATAGTTCACCCAGAATGAACAATAAATTGACAGCCAATCCAGCCGAACTCGAGTGTTTAAAGTGGCATATGAGAAAACGGCAGCGTAGTGTTATACACTGTATATGATCTAGCTGAATTAAACCTGCTTCAAAATTGATGAACTTCACACTGTATCGATCTGAATTTAACCAAAACTGAACTGACTTCAGCTAAATAATGACACCATTGTCTTTTAGAGCTGCTTTACAGCAGAATCTGAACAGTTTTCAACTCTCCATAGTTGAGTTTCCATAATTATTTCTGCTATTTTCCTGTTCCTATTATTAACATTCACATACAAGTATTACTATTCACAAGTTAATATTCATCACTGACATGTAAATATGGGCGATCCTGTTAAAGACAGACACATGTCTTAGGGGGAAGTCGTGGCCTAATGGTTAGAGTCGGACTCGTAACCCAAAGGTTGCGGGTTCGAGTCTCGTACCGGCAGGGATTGTAGGTGGGTGAGTGAATGTACAGCGCTCTCTTCCACCTTCAATACCACGACTGAGGTGCCCTTGAGCAAGGCACCGAACCCACCAACTGCTCCCCGGGCGCCGCAGCATAAATGGCTGCCCACTGCTCCGGGTGTGTGTGTGTTCACTGCTGTGGGATGGGTAAATGCAGAGCACTAATTCCAAGTATGGGTCACCATACTTGGCCACACGTCACGTCACATGAAAATAATTGTCCATTCTGATATTTAAACAGATCATTTAATCTTAACATCGGGATTGTAGCATACTCTCCAAATACAGGATCTCTCAGGTGCATCTGTGGTCATACACTTGGGCAATGATACACATGCTTTATGAAGAGCAGTAATCATCATCATCATCATAAGTAGAGATTGATGAGCTCGTCGCTGACAGCTGAAGGCGTCAGCACACCGAGGTCCGTGAAGAGTAATGTGATGAGGGATGGAGGGGTGTAGTCGATCATGGGGTGCTCTTGGTTCAGATCCTTCACTGTCTTCAGGATATCTGCTTTATACTGAAACACAAGAAACAAGAGCGATGGCATGCATCTATTATGTGTAACTGAAAAAGTGTTTCAACTAGCTTGCCTTGAATCTGTCGGGTACGTCTTGCTGGTTCAGAGGGTAGAGCCGCACAAACTTGAAACTTTCTGCCACCACATAAAATGGTTTGTTGTGTGCCTTGGAGCACACGGCCATCTGATAGGTACCAATCTAGGAAATTAATGGAATTATAACCGCTAAATGCATTTTGTTTTACAGGAACACTCCACTATTTTTGGAAATAGGCTAATTTTCCGGCTCCCCTAGAGTTAAACAGTTCAGTTTTACCGTTTTCGAATCCATTCAGCCGATCTCCGGAGCTTAGCATGAATCTGATTAGACCGTTAGCATCTCGCTCAAAAATGACCAAAGAGTTTCTATATTTTTCCTATTTAAAAATTTAAAACTTTGTAGTTACATCGTGTACTAAG